AAAAAAAAAAAAAAGAAGTAGCAACGAAAATAATTTTATGGTTGGGGTCACCATGGGAACTGTAGGCTCCGTGCCTGTGGCTCAGTGCCTGTGGCTCAAGCAGCTAAGCCTCTAGCTACATACACCTGAGCTGGCAGGTTTGAATCCAGCCCAGGCCTGTCAAACAACAATGAACAATGACAGCTGCAACCAAAAAATAGCTGGGTGTCGTGGTGGGTGCCTGTAGTCCCAGCTACTTGGGAGGTGAAGGCCGGAGAATCACTTGAGCCCAGGAGCTGGAAGTTGCTGTGAGCTGTGATGCCAGAGCACTCTACCCAGGGTGACAGCTTGAGGCTCTGTCTCAAGAAAAAAAAAAAAAAAAACCATGAGGAACTGTATTAAAGGGTTGTGGCATTAGGAGGCATTAGGAAGCATGAGGAAGGTTGAGAACCACTGAGACCCAGGAAGGCCCAGAACCACTGGTGCTGAGTAAAACACTTGGCCTTCTGGGCGGTGCCTGTGGCTCAAAGGAGTACGGTGCCGGCCCCATATACTGGAGATGGTGGGTTCAAACCCGGCCCCAACAACAGCAAAAAAATACCTTGACCTTTGGAGTCCTTGTTACTATGGCCTTAGGCAGATCAGAACAGGTGCAGTGAGTTTTATCTGGGCATGTGTTGGACAAATGTTTCAGGTTATTTTGTTCATTTGTTTAGTTTTTTAATGTTGGCCCTTGGCCATCCACAGTCCAGGAAGGCCACACCTGCAGCCCTGCAGGGGGTAGTCCCAGGTGGGCCCTGTCTCCAGGCCTGAAGCTCTCAGCCTGTGCACCCTGGAGATAACTCTGCCAGACATTGTTTGCTTGTTTGATGGAGGACCCTTCAGGGCCTGGAGCCACTCCCAGGGCTGGCCCTAGCCACTCACTCAGTAGTTGGGGCCACTTAGGCCCAGCCTCCCTCCACTCACACCCTGACTCCCCCCCTGGGCTGTCCTAAGGGTTACCCAGGCCCTGAAGGCCCGTCATCTTGGCCTAGAGGCCTAGCCAATGGCAAGGGACTCTGAAGGAGACACCTCCTTTCAGAGGCCTCCCTGGTTCTCATCCACCACAGATGGGAGCCAGGGAGTGGAGGAAGCAGAGAGGATGGAGTGATAGAGACAGAGGCTGGGCTGCCCTGGACAGGGGGATTTTCCAGGCATCACACGGTTGCAGGGAGGAGGAACAGGATGTACCCCCCCTGGGATGGTAATCCTATCTCCTCTTTTACTGATGCAGACACTGAAGCTCACAAGTCCCCTTATAGGAAGTTCCACACTTCAGTCTCCTCATTTTTACCAGGAGAGGATTAAAGAGAGATGGTATTGGAGAAAGAAAGGGCCTTTGCATCCGCATGTCAGCAAGGACAACACTGAGACCCAGAGTTTGGCAGGGGGAGAAGAGGCTGGATACCAGAGAAACTACAAGCACAGTCAGCCCCCTGCCCGACCCTCACCCAGACCCCTAATGGGTGGCAGGTCGCAGGAAAGAAACTGAGGGACAAAGGTTGGCAGGCAGGTCAACTCAAGCATGCTGACCACTTGGAACCCAAGCAGGAAGGCCACCCCACCACCACCACTGGAGACACTATTAACCATCCAGCCAATTATACTTGGTGGGGGTGTTCCCTGGTCTCTCTCTCCCTCCCAACACATCCTGCCCCACCCCCACCTCCTGAGCCATACTCTGATTATGGATTCTTTCTTTGCTGCCCAGCTGGTACCTCTCCTTGCCACCCAGCTGCACACAGCAGCCCAGGTATGAATCTGACCTGCTACAGCCCCACAGAAATCCTCTGTTGGGACCAAGGAAAAATTTCCCTTTTGCCCTCTCTAAGTCTGCTGAAAAATCAACTCACAAAATGCAGATTAATTAGAGAAAAGGCACATAAATTTATGTAACATGTATAAATGGGAAACTTTGAAAACCCAAAGATACAGAGGAAATTTTCCATTTTTATGCTCAGGTTCAACAAAGTTAGTTAGCTACATAGAAATATGATTGGACAAAAAGGGTGTGACCAAGTGAGGAAACCCAGCAAGGCCTCCTGTATTCTGAACACACTCTTCTTCCTTCTGGGTATGGGCTGGGTTCTCACTGTAATGAGGATCTTACGACCTGTAATCACACAAGGTAGGTCAGGTAATTTCTTGTCTTTTATTTATTTTTGGCCGGGGCTGGGTTTGAACCCACCACCTCCAGCATATGGGGCCAGCGCCCTACCCTTTTGAGCCACAGGCGCTGTCCAGGTCAGGTAATTTCTTTATTGCCATTTTTTTACAAAGAAAGGCAGAGGGAAAGTTATCAGTAGTTTTTTTTAATTTTATGGCTGGCTTTGGGGGAAAGGAGTGTTTTTGATGATCTGCCTTGTTGGGGAATTAGGATTCTAGTTTTGATGGCCAGCCTCTGGGAGAATGAGATTGAGAGAGAAGGGGGCTGGAAAAGGTCACAGAAAAACTTGTTTCTGAGGCTACTTCTGAGACCTTCATTTTGGGGTATTTTTTTGAGTCCCAAAATCTTCACGATTGAGTGCCAGTAAGGTAGAAGGCAAACCACTTGCAGGCTTAAGACGCCCACTGACCTCCCTTACCCCAGCTGCCATGGCCACCCTTGGCAGCCTAGGGCCATCCCACTCCTCCATCCCTGCAGCTGTTCCCACTGCCTCAAGGGTCATTTGCTCTAAGAGACCTTTCCTTGGCCTTCCCTGACCTCCCATGAATATGTGGCCTGCCACAGCCAGCTCTGAGGCTGAGCTCCTGGAGAACACCAGGAAGGGAGGGCCCTCAGAGCCTCGTTATTACAGGGCAGCTCTGCACTGTAAGCACATGCCCCAACCCCCTCTGAATGGACCTCTGCGAGGGCTATCACCACCCCTGAAGCACACAGCACTGTGCCTGGCATGTAGTAAATGCTCTTAAAGTGTTGACCTCCCAACTGTGAGCCCCTAAACACAGTGGGGGCCTAACAATCTCTGCCATGCTCACAGCTTCCCAGGGCCAAGAGGCAGAGCCCCAAAATGGTAAGGCCTCAATACCCCCAAATGAATGCCGAACCTGCTGGCATCCCTGGCTTCTGCCCCCTCACCTCCACCTACCACTGGGCAGGCCTTGCCAGTATTTTCTCATTGTCACAGCTCACTTACAGACTCCTCCCTCAGAGTGCCCGCCCTCCTGGACTAAACAAGTGCTGCCCCCATTGACGGAGTCTCTCCTGCCCATCAAACAGTCCAAAGGCACCAGGGTACTCCCAGGGAGTACTACCAACCTGAAAGGATGGTGGGGCTGGGCTTACCCCAACAGGAGGTTCCTGGAGCCAACGTTTCTACTTTGGGATTACTGGCCTCAGTCAGCACCCAGAGACCAACTATTCAGGCCACAGGGTGTGCCAAATTCATGCCTGCCTGGGCCTGGACATACATGCTCTCTCTACATAGACTGCTCCTCCTCCTGCCCTTCAGGCCACTGGCTCCTTCCCAGCTCCCTGACCGATGCTTAGTAACATCAGCCTAAGAGGCCTCCTCTGACCCCTCATTAATTAAGTTAGGGTCTCCCACATTCTCCCCTTTAGTTCCTACCTGCCACCTTCATGGCTCTCTGCTCAACGTGTGACTATGTCATGAGGCCTGGTGCTCAGTGAGGCAACAGTTCAAAACCAAGGAGACAGGCATGAACCAGAAGTGTTTATTATAGAAATTTTGCCAAGGTTCCAATGGGCAGGCCCAGCACAGGCTGGGCTGGGCCCTTCTGCCCAGGGTTGGCAAGTGAGATGGGATCGGGTAGAGGAAACAAGCCTAGGACCAGGGCCTCAGAGCTGTGACATGAGATTAGGTGCCAAGCTGCAGGTGAGTCCTGTGCCATCGGGTTCCACATTGAGGGTCTTTACTACACCATCTTCTATCACCATGGAGAACCTGCCAGAAAGAAAGGCAGGCCAGCTGCATCAGCTTGGGCCTAGGGGTTGGGATGGAGACAGGAAGGGAGGCAGGAGCCAGAGTGCCCAGAGAACCCCACGGAGGACCCAGCACTTTTACCTCTTAAGCCGTCGATTCCCAAAGAGGGACACCAATGAATCATCTAGTAATAAATCTGTTTCCTAAGAGAAAAACAGAGGAAAGCGTCAGAAACCTCCAGAACTGGCGAAGGTCCCCACTGCTCCCCACACTGCCATGTTCCACCAAGTCCCTGCTTCCAAGCCCCAGCACAGGAACTATTCTGTAGGGTGGAGGTTGGGGGCACACTCACCTTCCCAAAGGCACCAGTGGGGTCAGCCAAGAGCCTAACCTTAAAGAGAAAGTAAAGGTCACAGAAAAATCTCCTACCAAGCCCCAACCCCCCTTAAGCCCTACAGCTCACCTTGCCTTCTGCCTTGTGAGCTCGTCCCCACTCAGCAGCTACGAAGACATCATTAACACTTAGACATGCCACCACCTGGACCCCCTTGGCCTTCAGAGCCTCAGCCTGCTCCACAAACCCTGGCAGGTGGGTCTGACAAGGAAACAAAGAGTCAAAAAGGATAATTGCATCTGCTTCTCAGCCCACCCTTCATCTCCAGGCCCTGCTCACTGCCCTGCCTCAATTCCATTGATCAGACACACAGAGAACTGCATAGACCATTCTATAAATAAACCATAAACTTCTTTGTTTTTTGGAGATAAGAGTCTCATTCTGTTACCTAGGCTAGATAGAGTGTTATGGTGTCAGCCTACCTCATAGCAACCTCAAACTCCCTGCCTCAGACTCTTGAGTAGCTAGGACTATAGGCATACGCCACCATGCCTGGCTATTTCTTTTATTTTTAGTAGAGATGGGGTTTCACTCTTGCTAAGCCTGGTCTCAAACTCCGAAGCTCAAGCAGTCCACTCACCTAGGCCACTCAGAGTGCCAGAATTATAGGCATAAACCACCGCACCTGGCCAACCATGAATTTCTAATGTGCACGACTATATCTTATTTATTTGAGTCCCAAGTACCTTCCACAGTGCCTATCGCTACTCAACAGGACCAACAAGAGGTGCTGGATAATTGCAATGCCCTTTTTCCAACATTCCCAGTACCATTACCTTTCCAGTCCTTCTGCTTATTTTCTGATCACCCCGAAATGCTTTTGTAACTGTCTTATAAAGACTATGTGGGCTCGGCGCCTGTGGTTCAAGCAGCTAAGGCGCCAGCCACATACACCTAAGGTGGCAGGTTCGAATCCCCAGCCCGGGCCCGCCAGACAACAATGATGGCTGCAACCAAAAAATGGCCAGGCGTTGTGGCGGG